CTAAGTAATTAATTACTTTTGAAAATAAGTAATCAGTAAAGTAACGGGATTACTTTTTTGGGGAAGTAATCAGTAATTAATTACTGATTACTTTTTTCAAGTAACTTGACCAACACTGGTTAACACGTTGGAAATTCTACTGGACAGAAAAGCAGCTCTGAGTGATTATTCAGTTTTTAATTTCATTGATGGTTTTTGCTTACACAGTCATGAAAAACTAAAATTGCTGTGATTTAATCTACAGGGAGTTTCGTGGTATATCATGGTTTTATTGTTATTTCAGCATAAATGACCTTTGGTTTAGAGCGGCTCATTCCTCTGTCAGGTGTACGTGGAATACAATAAAACACAAAATAAGTACAAAACCAAACCATTCAGTAATCTTCTCTTATGTTAACAAAGTTGTATCGTTACATATTGGCATTGTAGTACTTTAGCTGTAGTATCACTGCTTCCTTGTAGCTCAAGTACTTTTAGACATCAGTGTTAAAATACTCATTTAATATTAACATTGCAGTGTCATGGGGGTAGTAGTGTTTTTTCTTGTGTCCCAATCAGCTGAGTACTGTAACTGCACAGTTGTAGTGTTTCTAATGCAGTATTAAATTAGTATTATTGGAGTGTTACATTAGTAGTTTAGCACTGTGTTGGTACACTGAAAATATTAGCATGGTGTAACATTAAATAAGTATTACTGTAGTATTATGGTGGTAGTATTGTAGTTATCGTAGCCCTGTGAACTGAGAAAGTAATTGGACGTTGGCAGAGATGCTCTTTATTTCAGGCGACGTTCACGATACAAATGTTGAAGGACTGACTTCCACTGTCTTTGTCTTTGTTTAGAAGCAGAGCGGTGCAGATGGGTCCAGTTCTCAACCCTGTCATCGCTGTGGTGGTGGGAAAGACTTTTGTTGTGACCTTTGTGGAAAATCTTTCAGTCATGCAAAGAGCCTAAAAATACATCAACGTAGACACACTGGAGACAAACTGAAATACTGCAAAGAATGTAGGAGAAGCTTCACCAGATCAAATGAGTTAAAACACCATGAAGTCATTCACAGTGGGGTTAAAAAGCACCTCTGTGATCAGTGTGGGTCATCGTTCACCACTGCAGGTGAGCTTAAAACACAAACGAGTCCACACAGGAGAGAAACCATACAAGTGCACACACGGTCACACACACACAGCTGTGACCGGTGTGACAAGACTTTCAGGAATCTCAGTTCATACTGCGAACAAAAACGATCCCACACTGCAGATAAACTGTTTCACTGCTACAAATGTGCAAAAACCTTCACTTCACTATCTGTTCTGTGCAAACATCAGCGTGATCACGGTGAATCTGGTGTCAGGGTCAGACTTAAAACTGTTGAGATCAGGCTCCACAGAGTTCAGCTGGAACCTCATGTAAAGAACTGATGAGGCTGCTGTAAATATAGCATAATATCGAGTGGTTAGCTTTTTTTTGTTGTTGTTGTTGGAAGAAGAAAGCTTGTTATGTAATCAAGTTTTTATTGAATGCATTTTGATCCATGTGTTCTGTAGGTGTTCTTTGTTCAGGCTGTCTGTGTTATGAAACTTTGCAACGGTTAAATAAAAAATGAAAATGTTAAATAAAGAAATGGTTTAATGACAGCTTGAGCCATGATGTCATTTCCTGTATTTCAGAGTAAAGACTCGAGGGATGAATGGAAACATGTTTACAGTCAGAGTCAGATTAACTGTTTTCAGTGACCCAGATGGAGGTTTATCACAGGACACATTTGGCTTTCCTTCCCTCACACTGAACAGGGTTCCTGCAGCTTATTACAAACTCTGATCTTAAATTTAAGAAAAATAAGATCTTTAAAATCTTGTATTTCTTTTTATCAAACTTGCTGTAGGTGTTAAAACTTCTGATTTTCTTTTTAAAATTTTTTAGGGAAAATAATCTTTTAAGGTTGTGGTTTCATTTGCTCAGAGTTTATCAGCGTTTCCTGATACAAGGCAGGATGGATCCATGCTTTTGTGTTTTTTAAGACAAATTCTGAAGTTAAAATCTGAATGTTACAGAGATTGAGACCCATCAGATCAGGCAACATTTTCAATCTTCTGTTGTCCACAAAAGGGGACAACAGAAGATAACAGTGGAAGGAGAAGGAGGACGAACTGGGAGATCTCAGGTCCAGTTTATCTCCCGGGTACGTCAAGCTCTTCTTCTACTAATTGTTCCAAACATGGAAAGCTTTTAGGAACATTTAAAGTTTGTTTGGTTTTTAAGCTTCAGTCTGAGATGATGGTTACAGAAACTGTGCAAGGATGACGTTTCGTACTTATTTGATATAGAGAAGTGAGTCATCAGAGAATGGACCCATGTTAGTTAGTCATGCTGGAGATGGTTTTTGTGTCACAAAAGACTTCAAAAATATAAAAATATTCAGACTCACAGACATAATAATGATCAGAAGAGCATAACAAGCATACGGACGCAACTCCCATTTTTTCTCCTTTTCATGCATGAGAGCAGATTTTAAGAGAAATGCATTGTCAAAGGTGTCGTCAAAGACTGCTACGGTAGCAACCGAGCCAGCTAACACACCTGGTCAGGAAACATGAAAGTACTAAGTGCTGGTTAGTACTTTCAAAATAAGAGTGTGAGGATCGTCTACTAGTAAATCAATTGTGAGCGCTCGTGTTGCCTCAGATGGATAAATAGAAATAAGTCAGTAAGTAGATGCCTGACCTTACTTGTATTATCCACATGATTAACAAAGCTCAGTAATGCACCGATGAATCCCCCTAAAAACAGAGGGCTCGATTACATACAGCTCAGCCTTCGTAGCATAATGTGCCACAAATGTTAATGACTAACATGTGCCTTATCTGTACACTAGTTTGCTATTAGAAATGCTACAGATTTGAGATCAAATCCCAGAAACATTAAAGGGTCTGGGCACTAGGGTAGCTTTGCATGATTCACAGTGTAAAATAATCCTGATGGTGGGAGTATCGTGGAAAAGCTTTCTGTAACGCTTTTAAAAAACAGTCATTTTCATTGAGGCAAATACTTCTGTCCTCATTAGTGTTTAAATATTAACTGGAGACTCTTTGAGTGAGGACTTTTTTTTGGTGCCAGAAGCTTTCCAGTGTCTCTTTGGAGTTTTCATGTTCAGCTTTCATTGTGGTGTAAAGTGACAGAACCATCACAGACGACTTCCTTCCTTTTATTGTTCAGTCACATTAGAGTAAACACCCTCACATGACTATAAAAGAGAATTAAATGTTCCTGAATGGTTGGAGCTCTTCGTCCTAAACTTTAATGTTTCTGTGTGTCACAAAAACAGAGACTCATGTGATCATCTGGGTTAGAATTGACTGACGCTGCCTCATTTTTAAGTAAAAATTAAAACTGATTAAACAAAATTAAGAGAGCTGAAACTATACATAAAGATTTCAACAGTGAAGCAAATTGTCCAGTTTTTAAGGTTTTATGACATATAAATGTCACTGTTCCTGTGTATACTCCCTGCCTTTCCCATATCCCATGTTTCATGTCTAGTCACCCCTGTCTCCATGTTCCCTGTGTCTGCCCAGTCAGCCGTGCCTTCTTGACCAAAGGAGGGAGTTTATAGGACATCGTGATAATAATGAATTATAGTAGTCCAGCCTACAAGTAATGAATGCATGAGACAGGATATTTCTACTTTTAGAGATATTGCGCAAATGAAAGAAAGCAGTCCTACATATATTTTTTTAATATGTGCATTAAAGGACATATCAAAGATGACTTAAATGTTCCTCACAGTGTTACTGGAGGCCAAGGTAATGCCATCCAGAGTAAGAATCTGGTTAGATACCATGTTTCTAAGATTTTCAGGGCCAAGTACAATAACCTCAGTTCTATTTGAATTTAGAAGCAGAAAATGAGAGGTTTTTCAGGTCTTTATGTCTTTAAGACATTCCTGCAATTTAATTAGTTTGTGTGTGTTATCTGGCTTCATGGCTAAAGATGTTTTGTTGGGTTGAGATCTGGTGACTTTATAGGCCAGTGAAGTCGATGTCATGTTCAAGAAAGCTGTTTGGGATGATCTGCGCTTTGTGACGTGGTGTGTTAATCTGCTGGAAGCAGTCGTCAGAGGACGACTACACTGTGGTCACAAAGCGATGGACATGAACGGCAAACGGTATGTTTTGCCATTTAAACAATGCTCACTTGATACTAAAGAGCCCAAATTTTGCCAAATAATCTCCATCTCAGTATTACACCAGCAGCAGCAGCCTGAACTGTTGATATAAGGCAGGATGGATCCATGCTATATTGCTGTTTACACAAAGTTCTCACTCTACCATCTAAATGTTGCAGCATGAAGGCTGCCTTAAAACTGTTTCCTTTGACTTTTAATTGCAGTTCCAAAAAAAGCAGCAGAATCAGGGGAAGCCCAGAGCGATGTTTCGCTGTACAGGAGAAGGGCCGTCTGTTAAATCATATATCACTAGAAAAAATGTCAGCTTCCTTTAACCCTTAAGGACCCACAGTGACACTGGTGTCACTGCCCCTTTACACTTAGAGACTTGGTTATATATGATTCATTTGATATAAGACCCCCGTAATTTTCATGAAAGTAGAAATAGGTCTGGGCTCTTAAGGGTTAAGCAGCAAATGACTGAATTCAACAAAAAATGGTTGGTTATAAATTAACACATTTCTATTATTTATAACTAACCACCCCTAATGCTAGGGACTGTCGATGTTCCTATGGTTCATTACACACACACACACACACACACACACACACGTTTTGTGTATTGTAGTAAGATGAGATGCTTTCAGTATTTTCGAACTTTATTTAATAATGACCATCATCTTATTATCCAAAGGGACATTGTAAACATCAGATAATTAAATAAATAAATAAATAAATATATCTTCTATGGATCATTCACATGTAAACAGTTGCAAGTTGCTCCATAGCATTCATTGTGACAGTTATTCTCCTTTAGATGACACAAACAGATCTCTAAGTCATGGTCAGTTATCTTAACACGTACAGCGTGAAACACAATTTATAGAAACTCCTGGTTCAGACATAAACACTAAGGTTAGTGAGTCTGCCTAAGAGCTACTAGCTTCATGTTATGTATCCACTTCACAGGGTTGGCTTTCCATTATTTTATTATCATTGTGGCACTAGTCTGATTCTGCCCCGGCGATCTCGGGTGGGATCCTTTCTATGGATTCTGTGGAGGAGCTTTGGGATTGTTGGGACTCTGAGGCTTGAGTGCTGTCCACGCCGGACTGCATCAGCGGTAAGTAGATGTCATCCATGTTTGGCAGTACTAAAACTTTCTGAAGAAGAAAAGCAGGAGAGAGCTAGGAAAGCGCATCAGAAACATTTGATGGCAGCACAGAATTCGAGTGATTTTTGACTACCTGGAACTCGTCCTGCAGTTTCCTTTCAATCCACTCAGTCACATGGCAGAAAGTCACCTCCCTTTCCCCCAGTTTAGGACGGACATGCAGATCCAGCTTTGGTGGTACACAGAAACTGTACCTGCGGATGACATTCAAATATTCAAATGCATCAAGATGATAACAAATATGAGAATGTTTCAGGTCTATTTCGATCTCACGTTGTTGGAGCGCTTTAAAACAGCCTCAGTGCTCGAACAGATTTATCTGGCGAATAAATAAATGTTCCTTTGGCAAGCAGTGAAAAGTGAGCCACTCCACAGAGAGTCAGAAACAGATCACACAGCTGATTTGTTTTTGAGAATTGTTAAGTGCACTTATGGCATGCAGCATAACCACGTCTTTTAAATCTCACAGTGTTTTTTTTCCTTGAATATATGTAAACTTATACTGTGTTATATCTTAAGAAAATCAATTAATCAGGACGTCCTGGAGTAAAATCTGATTTTTTGTTCATGTTCTCCATATTTTTTTTCTCCGTAATTTATATTTTTCTTAACTTTTGCATTAGTTCCAATCTAAAGCTTATCAATCTTAAGCTCAACATGTTGGTCACCTCTTCATTCTGTTAATTTTTAGAGATGCAAAATATAGAAAATCTTACTATAGAAGGTGTCACCATTTTTTTTAAAGACAAACCCAAGTAGCGATTGGTGGCACTTCCATTAGCTTTATTTTTTTTATATCAAAAAAGGGTTTTTTGATATTTTATGGTCATTTTATTACACCTTAAACTGCCTTGCTTCTTTATGACAATGCTCACGTGATACTAAGGAGCCCAAAGTGTGCCAAATAATCTCGGCCTCAGTATTACACCAGCAGCAGCACCTGAACTTTTGATATAAGGCAGGATGGATCCATGCTATAATGCTGTTTACACAAAGTTCTCACTCTACCATCTAAATGTTGCAGCAGAAATCAGGACACATCACCCCTGGCTGTGTTTTCCAGTTTTCTGTTGTCTAATTTTGGTGAGCTGGTGTGAAGATCAAGGTATAATAAAAGAAGTGACCAGTGAGTGTAATTACGCCTTTGATGCCGTTTCATGTTCGCTTGGTTCATTGTTAATATTTGGATGCTTTAAACTGTTTTCAAACTATTAATTACAACACATGCATACGCAATTGTATGTTTTTCGCTATTTAAACACGTGCACTCATAATGGTCCAAAGCCTCCAAAGCCCTACCAGCACATACATGTTTATCTGAATTGCTCAATCCTCTTTAATCTTTAATGTGGTTATTGAATAAGCTATAGCGACTGATCTTCTTACTGGGCCTGAACACTTTGATCCAACATGGTTTTGAAGGGCTTCTGATTTAGTCTACATGTTTATATGCAGAAAGAAATAATCTGGATCAACACTGAAGGGCTGCTTGTGCCTCGTTCCAACTCTAAGGCAGCGGCGTGTCTTTTCGTACCATATCCTGTCTGTAGGGGGCGGCGGGATGTTGACAACCAGAGTCCCTGTCAATTCTTGAACCTCGACAGTGAGCAGCAGGGGCGTGTTGGACATCTCCTCAAACTTCTTCTTAATGAACTCGTTCTCTGTTGCCTTCTGGAAGTACTTGGATTTGGCGATTTTGTCCACAAATCTCAAAATCTTCCTTCCAGTCTTGCCACCCCCTGTCCTGTTAGAGAGGATTAGAGGAGACGAAACGACAGCGCTTGTGTGATCCTACGAGTCAGAATTTTGAGGAGACGAGAGCCTCGAAATGTAAATGAGAGCAGCAGCCATCTGGGGTGTGATGTCAGCATGGTTTAAAAAAAGAGCATTTGCAAGATAGCAGGGTGGAAGTAACACTTTCTTTCACACTTCTTACTGAAACGTTCCTTTTAGAAGCTGTTATTGCTGATCATTCCACAAAAGTAATATAATGTCATTGCTGCAACTTTTTTTTAGCTCTTACTAAGCATGATGCAAAAGTAGGATATATTTGATGAATGACATGAATCATTCAAAATTTACCCTTCTGTAGCTGGTGGGCATCCCTTTTCACCCACCGGACCCTGAGGCTCAGAGAGAAGCGACTCCTCCTCGTCAGATGAACCAGCGCTGGAGGACTCCTCATCACTGTCGGCCAACACACTGAGGATCGGCCTGCAGCTGGGAGGATAAACAGGCAAGCAAGTTAGGTACAGACACAGGCATAAAACATTTCTGAGGCAATTCAGTGCTTGAAACACTCACTTATATCACCATGGATACAATTTCAAGTGTTAAAACATTGGGACATTAGATTTAGAATTAAATGATTGGGACAATGGGACGATAGAATTAAATGATTTGATCTCATAGACCTGAATTTAATCAAAGCATAACAGAGAACAAACTTTTTGAACTGAGAAAACGTCGCATTTTATTGGCTCATTTTGAATTTGTTGGCAGTAAAACATCTCAAAAAATGAGAAAAAAGACGATGTTTACCACTATGTAGCATCACCGCTTTCTTTTTTTTAACAACCGCACATAAACATCTGGGAAATGAGGAGGTTTTTATTCTACCATGAAGCCATGCAATATGCGGTTTAGCATTTGTCTTGCAGAAATATGAAATATGCAAGGATGCAGGCTTTTGAACAGAGCACGGATATCAAACTGGATCCTCCCTCTCCTCTTTAGTCCCGACTATGTGGCATCCATGTTTCCCAAAAAACATGGGGTGACTGTGGTTCAGGGGGTTGGGAAGTTCATCTGTAACAGGTTCGATCCCCCAGCTCTCTCTGTCCTGGTCGTTGTGTCCCTGGGTAAGGCACTTTACCCTACCGCCTACTGGTGTCGGCCAGAGGGGTTGATGGTGCGATATGGCAGCCTCGCTTCAGTCAGTCTGCCCCAGGGCAGCTGTGGCTACAACTGTGGTTTGCCTGCACCAGTGTGTGAGTAAATGAATGAAGTGCTTTGGGTGCCTAGAAAAGCGCTACATAAATGCAATCCATTATTGTTATTAAAAATAATTTAAAATTTTGATTAATCTGACCACAGAACAGTTTTTCAGTTTGCCTCAATCCAATTAAAATGACTTTGGTCCAGACTATATAGCAATGTTTCTGGATCATGTTCATATATGACATATTTACTGCACGGCAGAGCTTTAACCTACATTTGTGGTTGATATGGTAAACTGTGTTCACAAACAGTGATTTCTGGGAGTGTTTCTGATCCCATGAAGTGAATCGTGACTGTTTTTAATGCAATGCTGCCTGAGGGACAAAGATCACAGCATCCAATACATGCAAACTGAATCCTTTCATGATATTATGTACTGTACAGGATGCGATAGTCAGTCCTTGCAATTTTGTGTTGAGGAACATTGTTTTGATAATTTGTACACACATTTTTTCCAGACTGGCGAACCTCTGCCTATCTTGACTTTTGAGGATCTGTGCATCTTTAAGATGTTCATTTTCTATCTAATCGTGTTACTGACCTGTTGCCAATTACTCTAATCAGTTGCAAAATGTTCCTCCAGCTATTTCTTTTTAGTACTACTTCGTTTCGTTGCCCCCACCCCTGTTTGTAAGGTGTGTTCATGCCAACAAATGAAAAAAGAGCTAATATGTTTCTTAAAATATCCTGTTCTATTCTGATTAAAATGTCGCTTTCTGAGATTTGCGAGTCATTCTGTTTCTATGTACACTTCACACAGAGTTCCAACTTTTCCAGAATTGGAGACGTACATGTGCAGGAGCCAATTTTGCATCTGCTATTAGTGAACATATCTGCAGCTTTGCTATCTTGACTTTTAGCTTCAGATGCAGCACAGAGACAGCTAATGTGAAGCTTTGCCTGGACTTTAATCCCTGTGGGTTTATGACAAGAAGGTCTAATCATTATAATGTGCGGCTCTGTAGATCAGAAAGCAGAAGGGATCAAGAGAGAGAGATGTGTAGGTGTGTGCGTACGTGCAATAGAAAGGATTAGAATGAAAAACCCATGTTTACTGTTATTTTTTACATTGCTCGTGCTACTTGGGCAAGGCAACATGATGAAATATGCAATACAGATGATAAAAACACTATTAGCTTTTTTAAAAAATAATAATACATGACAGAATTTAAAAATAGGAGGCAGCTCAGTAGGTAAGTCAGGATGTATCTGTCTTTGTGAGTTTCACCCCCGCGGTGATTAGTGCATTAAAGATGAGGATGCAGCTAATACATTGCTCTGTGGGGGTTACTGAAATATGAAAACAAAGTCAGTAAGGTAGCTAATTAAGGAGATTATCCACAGACATCACTGGCTATTACATTTTAAACAGCATCTTGTTTAAGAAAGTGTGTAATATGTAAGAATATATCTATATATAGGTAACTCTATAAGATTACAGGGATGCGTCACGTGTCACAGTGCGAATGGACATGTGTGCAGCACTGACCGTGGGCTACCGGTTTCCGTCATACAGTGCACTGTCTCCTGACCTCCATCTTTACCCAGCTTGGACAGGTTGAACTTGGTCTGCAGGGTCATCTGCAGGTTACCGGTGTAAACCAGCTGAAGCTCCACCCACAGGCCTGGAGAGGGCACCCCAAACAGGTCAAAACTAGACCTCCAAAATTAAGACAAATGCTGCTAGAGACAGCCTAATCTGGACACACGCTGCTTAGTAGGCAGATTAAACAGCTTTCATTGAGATTATCGAGGCTTGGAATTAAATTCATAGTAAATTACGAGAGACTATTAATTCTCTTTAGGAGGTGAGTGGGGGGGGAAAGTGGGGGAGGGCAGAAAACAGCAAAAGCTGTTGACACAAGGTTGCGTAACGGCGAAGGAGGCGGAGAAATCGAAAAAGGGGAAGGTCATGATGTCACACAGCTACATTCATGCTGATAAGCTTAAATTTCCCTCATCATTAGGAGCAGCCAAACGGCCTGATTTCAAAACACACACACGCAAATATGCTCCAAATTGCAGAGTAATGGTTGCCCTGCCCCACAAGATTACGACAGGATAACAGTGTCTGATCTGATGCTGTGCATGAGGTCATCGCTTGCTGTGTCTGTGTATTTGTCTAAATCTCTTTGCATTTTGTGTTGCCCTTATGTTTTGCGGTGTTTAATCTCCTCTCTGCACTCACCTCTGGGGTTAACCTCTGGTCTGGAGGTAGCGGAGATTTGCGGCATTGAGCTGCCCATATCCAGCTCAGTCAGAGTCAGTTCATTCATAAAGTAAGGCAGCTGTAGAGAATATTGCATGATTTAAAATCACAGGGGGGCAAAAATGTGGTGTAATTATGGTTAACCTTTCTGACTCGGCAGCTTTCACTACTGCTCTCACTCTAATTTTGCTGAGTTTCTTCTGAATCTTGTGGGAGACGGCGTCGGCCCAGCGCTTCTCTCGCAGGAAATCCCAGAAGATCCGACCGATTAGAGCGTTAGCCCAGGCAGTTTGGCTTTTCCCTGGGTACTCTGCTAGATCACAGGTACACTTAAAAAATAAAGACAAGAAAAACACAAGTTTAGAGCAAATTAAAGGCTGTATAGTTTTCAAGGGTGAAGCTTACATCTGTGCTGCTGGCTCCAGGACTACAGAGTGGGGTCAGCTCCTCTGTAACCAGGAGACGGGCCATATAACTGGGGTAGTCGAGCACAGAAAGGCCCCTGGTGCTACTGGAGGGCGCTCCCGAGATAATGGGGAATGGAGGTGTGGATGGGGCGTCCTCGTCACTGCTGCCCACTCTGCTGGAGCCTCTGCTGCTCGGGACATTAACCTGTACACTGGTGCGCTGTGTTTGGTCACCTGGGAGAACACAGGATCATTTAATCATAGTTCTGACAAAAAGTAACTCTGATGATTTTTCAGAGCAAAGCAACCCACTTTAAAACCAGAAAATCTCACGCCCGATCATAAATCTTCTCTCTAATTAAAATATAAAATAAAGTGATTTATTTCTTGAAAACTGTATTGAAAAAACATAAACATCACAGACACGGATTTAAATTGCTAATTCTACCCAGTCAATGTGTGGCCGACCTGTCACTGGGACACAAACTTCAAAAAAAGAGCAGAGTAATATCACAAACTAAATACATGTACATATATATGTAACTATACATACGTGTGATACTCTCGGCCGTGTTGCTATAACAACCCCATGCACATTAAGTTCTGGTTCTGGATTAGACCTTCTTCTGGACCAGAACCAAGTTATGTCGAGCTGATTAGGTACTAGCGGAGAAGGGCTATTTGCAACTTGCAAGTTGTCTCATTTTCAGCAAGGGATAACTTGCAAGCTACTTTGGTTAGTTTCACAACATCTACCTTGGAAACTTTGAGTGAGAAATATTGTACTATGGGTTTTAATTTCTAAAAGATTTTTTTTTATAGTGATCATATCATCGCTTATGTTGCAGTTCCTCAAATATCCTCTAATATATTTTCCACATGAACAGGGCAGCTGGAAGTCTGTTTTTGATGGACAGACTTGTAGATGATGGTATCTGAAAGAAAATTCTTTGCAAGCATATATGTTCAACCAAACTACTCAAGTTGAGCTTTCAAAACTGGATTTCACAAAAAATAGTGCCTGTCCATCTTTGATATACAGTCTGTGGTTTGAACCCTGAATCATCCTGTGGTGTGGCAGTATTGATGAACACTTTTCCGATATGTTCTTGTATTCTGTGATTCCAGAGTATATAGTAGGTGAGACCACTACGACAAAGCTAGGGGCACTGTTGCCCCTCTACGACAGTGCATTTATGCTAAGCTATGCTAGTCATCTCCTAGCTCCAGGTCTTCACTAGAACAGTACAGGAGAGACAGCGCTAATAGTATTCTCAGCTCCTCAGACACGGGAATAATCATGCATAATTATTTCAACTATTACTCTATTTGAATTTACTAAAATGACCGTTTAGATTAAAAACCAGCCTTTCCCAAGAGCACAGCATGACAGATACTTTTAGTGCCGTGGATTTTGGATGAATAAAGCTGCCAGTGGAAGAGGGAAGTGTAACAGAAGCATGATGAAATAACAGATTTGATTTAAGAATATTTGTAGTAAAACCGTTTCAAGTTTCCCCAAAACAAGGCTGGTCTCTGTTTTTTATTGCATGTTCGCTTGAAATGGATTGTCAGAGCACGTAATCCATATTCCACTCATATATTACAGATTCCTAACGCATTAACAATGTGTCTCATACCCCTTGTGCAGGAGACATATTTGCTCTGTCTGTTTCTCTCCTTTTCCCTTTCTGTGTCCATGGATGCAAACAGGAAATGATGGAACCACTCTTCTTTCTCTCTTCCCGTACGGCCGAAGAGGTAAAGAATGGTGGGAAGCTCATGGTCATATTTGGAGGATCTTGGTTTTGGACTGGCTGATCCGGACTCCGATCCTCGGCTCTCCTCCCGCCTTCCCCCCTCATCCTCCTGAGATTTTGCCCCCCTGGTTAGCTGGATGCAGATGGGATACTTTGGGTTCCACATCCTCTTCTGCGCCAACACAGATGGCAGCAGGAATACCTTTGGGAAAAGCAAGCAGAGTTCAGTGGTGTTGAAGCAAAACTGTTAAATGGGGAACGTAAACAGTTTATTTTAATCTTGAGAGTTAATTTCAAAATCAAATATTTCATTTCAGCCAGTGGGGCCTCAGATACAGTAAAACCTTTCACTTAACCCTATTACTTAGCGAGTTCTCATACTTTGCTATTTGCCAGCTGATAGCAGCGTGACTTGACAAAGGTGGGTTCGTGGAATCTCTCGTCATACGTGGCCCTGCGGCTGATGTTTGATCGTGGCGTTTCCAGACGGAGACACGATCCCTCCAGGGTGGCAAACACAGAGTGAGTCAGACCTAGATGGCTGGTTTCTGGGTCGTAATCAAATATCTCATTCATCCAGCCCTGAAAAGAAAGAAAGTAAGAGGTGATGTAAAATCAACACTAGGGGTTTTTATGCACATTCAAGTGAGAAGTAAACACTTCATCTCGAATTGTTCCAGCCGTGAAAATCCTGATCTTTGTAATCAGGCTGAGATGTGATGTGGAGAGCGAAAAGTAAAGGTGCATTTTAAACGCTTTATTTGTCAGTGAAGGTTTCAGAGGGAGAGCTGATGTCTCGGGACCAAACTAGGCAAATTAGATTCAACTCTCTGGATTTTCAAAGATATCCTTTATCTTATTTCACCTTTACAAATACTTAATGTGCAATTGAAGTGCAGACTTCCAGATTTAATTTAAGGCAACAAACAAAAGTACCTCATTAACTGTTTGTGCACTCCACTTTAAAGGTCCAGTCAACTAACTGGTATATTACACACAGTAATTTAATAATTTAAAGCAGAATCACCCTATGACCTCGTAGACTGCCCCACAAACCTCCCCAGCTTTCACGTTTTAATTGCTTTCAAACTGATACCCAACTGCTAATGGCCAAAAAAGGGAATTAGCTCAATAGCGAGACAGCAAACATTGTTTTCCACTCTTCTCCATCCCTAGTCTGCCGAGCTTCCTGACAAATTACAGCTTATTCCTGTCTGTATTTCCCATTAATTGCCTCTTGAGCTGACAGTGTCTGGGTGGTGTAGTCCTCCTCGGTTGCCCCGTGTCAAGCTAAGCCAGGAGCAGAACAGCAATTATCACTGCGGCTCCAGCACTTTTCATTATTGACGGTTTTAATTGTGTTCCAGGATCCTCATGTACGGTAGTAGCACGCCACATTCAGAAGCTTTAATCGGAGAACAAAACAGTCAGACCTGCTGAAGCGACTCGCCAGCATGACATTGTTATTTTGGACCAAGTGAGCAGTAGTGAAGACTAATAACAACTACTTGGCATACTCTGGGTGCTGAAGTTAACTTGGAGGAATTTTTTAACAAGCTTTTTAAAGTGAATTCAGAAATTAGTAAATTTTCATTCGTATAAGAGGTAAACATTTTGAAATAGCCATAATCCCACTGTGACCATACTGAGGTACATGTTTCCATCCATCTGCTTCATGTGAACATTTTAGACAAAACTGAAGTTTGTTTACAGAGTATGAACATGCCAACATGAAAAAACTTTGTGCACTACAATATGAACCTGTTTCAGCTCTCTGTGCACAGGAGGGTCAAAAATCTGAATTTGTTCTGAGACTATTAATGCCCTATTTTGCAGTAACTCTTGATCCCATCTCCACATAATATTTATATAACAGTGTTTGTTCAATTCATTCTTTTGAACACTTATCAAATTCAAGGTCACAGGCAGACAAAACCTGTCAAAGCTGGATAGAAATGACTTTACACCCAACACTCCATCACAGTGTTGACACACAGAGACCCACGTCCACACTAATACGTTTTTGTTTTAAAACGCATCTTTTTCTCTCCGTTTTGGCCTTCCATCCACACTGAGATGGTGTTTTTGGTCAAGGAAAACTGAGTATTTTGAAAACACTCTCCAAAGCGGATCCATTTGAAAACTCAGTTTTTGCGTCGCAGTGTGGACAGCGAACTCGGAGTCTTTTTGTAAATGACACATTTTAGTCATGTGATGCAGTCATGTGACCAATTAAACTAAGATAGCGGAGGGCATTACACAGCAGTTGTTTTGTTTGCTCTCAATTTTGACAGCCCTATTAAAGATTAATATCAGTCTGTACATGCTCCAGATAGCTTTTCTTCAAATTCTTTCATTCTCAATCGCTTTTGCAACTTTGTACTTTGGTTACTCGCAGCAAGAACTCCACCTCATTGTTAGTCCGTTTAAAAAACTTTTCCTCGACATTTTGCTGCAACGTTTCAAAGAGCCAGAAAGTAAATAGACGGCAGACAGAAATGACGCAGGTCGAATCGTCTGGCATTTCACGCATGTGCAGTACTGGAACGTACTCAATGTGGACATACAACTCTGTGAAAATGAATGAAAACGATAGTGTGGACGCAGAGCATTTTTAGACGTATACGCCGTTTTCAAATTTATCCGGGCTAGTGTAGACGTTTTCAGCAGCAGTACCGAACCCTAACCTTAACTCTACCTATTTAATTAGAATAGTTTTAGGGTTGCTTTTAAAAAAAATCTGTGTCTTGACAGTTAAGGAACAAACAAAGAAAATGATCATTCTGACACAAATTAAAAACTACTTCCCTTTTAAAAAAACATTTGACTATCTCAAAAACAGAGTTAGGTTAAGTTGAGAGTTAGAAGTAGAGTTATTACCTACAGTAACTTATAATTCAGAGAGAAAATCTCCAATCGATGTAACATGCATGTCTGAGCCTGAAAAATAACCCATACCAGGGAAGGCAGGACGCACAGAAAGGCCGCAGATGAATAAGATCTTCAATCCAAGAACTTTCTTGCTAATAAGTGCAGAAAATGGAAAAGCCAATGTACAGTATATATACATTTGCTTTTGCCAGTTTTCAAACATTTGGTGGAAAATTGTTCAGCTTAACAGCCTCTGAATCAAAATAGAGCCAGTTGAGCTCATAGTATAAAGACTATAAACAGGTGTAATGTGGGGTATATGTAAAGATCACTGATTGATGAACAAAAATGTAAAAAAAATCCTCAAAATTTTCATCCAGGACTACTTAGTTCTCCCTCTTGCCAGCCTTTTTCTAACACTTCAACTGGCTGTCGGGTCTAGTCTCATTTTTAACCCCGTTCCCTGTGAGTTGGAGAATGAGGAAAACAAAGAAATTCAATTCTGTATCTGTTGAGCATTATGGCACCTTCAAGTGCTATAATGCACTTGAAGGTGCCATAACGCACTTGATTTCCAGGCATTTTTATGACAAACTAAAAATGTGTGAGTACTGGAGCTGAACAGAGGTGTCTGAAAATAAAAGTGATATTTTCATCGTTGATGACTCATCCATTTACCTTGAGTGTGTCAGGCTCAGTGCTTACAATGCCACCTGTCAGAATCCCTTCTCCCAACAGCGTCTGTGGCGGTCTATAGGTATGGACTGAGTTGCTAGACCTGGAGGAACCCATCCGAATGAGCCAAAGCCCTAGCAAGAAGCCCAGTGCTAATCCCAGAGCCAGGCCAGAGAAGTATGGACTGAGAGGTAGGATAAAATAGCCGTATGAAAGCACTGCCACACAAAATAAACTCATTTGTGGCAGAGGGTGAGGGGGCTGTGGAACGGGAGAGGTTGTGGGTGCTGTTAGAGCCTGAGAACCAGGCGACCTCCTCGCCTGCTTATGAGTTTCGATGGCAAACACTTGCATCATATCACCATCTGTACATATTTCCAGCTCCTCATCCCTGTGTTGCTGCACGTGGTGATGCACCGGGCAGGGGCAGTACTGAGTTCTCCCGAGATGTCTTACAGAAGGCCACTCAAAGACAGAAAAAACATCAGCATCTGTTTTCCTGGCGCTTCTCACAGGAGACTCGGACAGAACAGTGTCTGAGCTACTTTCCCGCCCCAAACCTCTGGAGCTGATCTGGTGAGTTCCCTGGTTCTTACACTGGTGTTTGGGGCTGCCTGAGCTTTCTTCCCTCCTGATCTTACTGAACATGCTGCTCAAAGGTTCGTGCACAACCTCAGTGAGCTTCCTCTTGGTGTCCTCCAGTTCCATTTTGAAGAAACCACCTTTCAGGCTGTCTCCGCTTGGGGAAAGCGAACTAGGAGATGGGGGAGCAGTCCGAGAGTCTCCATTGCTGCGGGTTTTCGGTTGTGTCAGCTGCTTCCACAGGTGGAGGTTAAGTCGGGAGTCTGATTTGGACTGCGACACCTCGGGTTCTGAGCGGGAAAGCTCTGTGGAGATTGACTTGACGAGGCTGAGAAAAGGTTTGGGTTTGAGGGTGGAGCTCTCTTTCAGATCCAGCTCTGTGGACAGAGACTTGACCAGGCTCGCTAAGGGTCGGTGGGTGGGTGAGGGTGTGCCAGGCAAGAGGAAGCTTGGGCCCAGAGAACCAGAGCAGTTCCCCAGGGAACCTGGCGTCGAGGGAGACAGAGGGACATGGAACTCTTCGGACTTCACCCCTCTGTCATCCTCGACGGAAAAATGTTTCTCCTTAGAGAGCGATATAGCAGGGTAGTCCTCATCATGCTCAAGGGAGAAGATGAACTCATTCTCATCCAGGCTGTCCCACTCTCCTTCAGTCCCTGTTAGCTGGATCACAATCCCTCGGGGGAGATGTCTCTTTGTCCCGAGGGAGGTGGCACCCACTGAGGAGAGACCGTGGGGTTCCTGGGGAGATCTGCCACCTGCTCCACCTTTGTCCTCGCTTCCTCTCTCTCCATTTTTACCACCTTCTGCCATTTCTTGACTTTACATTTCCAGGCCGAGGCACTTATGTGTCACTGAAAAAGAATAAAAAAAAGACACGGTCAGCTACATCACTAAGCCTCAAGGGCAGAACAAATGAAAGCAGTCAGGGTCTGAGCTGTAGAGAATGAGGAAGGGCATCTTTTCTGTGCTAGTGCGTAATTTCCAAAGAAACTGCTTACTGATGCCAACTGCGCATTAATGTGTGAATGCCGCTTAGTTGAGCTCTAAAGAGCTGTGGAAACCTACATTAATCTGAAGACCAGTGAGCCTGAATCACAGCCAAGTAAGCATGTCTCCCATAGCTGTCGCTCCACATACTGAAGGTTTTTTAGAAGCATGCAAAAATAGACAAGACAGACTTTCTTCCCCAAATGTTGCACAAACTAGGGCAACTCAGGCTTGGATCTATATGCTTTTTGGGCCTGATATGAATGCCTTTATGGAAACAGAAAAATCTGTGTATGATAGTAAAAAATGGGTAATTTAAATATGGTAAGATCCCTTTAAAGCAGAAACAAACATAAAAAAGCTCCACTCATTCTGTGAAGCAGTATTCAGAATGTAATCTCTCTCCAGCGTCACCCTCCAAAGAGCCTACTGTCAGCCACTGAAACTGAGCCACAACACTCCCTGTGATATCTTCTCAAGCTGCTTTGAAAGTTACTTATGCAACCCTGAGATGAATAGTGAGGGGGGATGTTTTCTATCGTTCACCCCCCACCTCCATCCCTGCATATGGCCTTTGTGTGTCGCAACAGCATTGCGCTTTTTCACATAACACGGCCACCACCTATGAACTAAAAGTGGTACAAGTAAAAACCAACATTGGAGAGACGCATTAGATCAGCTCTCATTTAGTGAATGAAAGAAGCAGTTCTGTGTCCCCAAACACAAGTTGGAAACCAGCATAAAGGCCCAGAGGGAGCCCTTTTATTTGCAGTCTCTTGAGGTCAAGTGCCCTGCTCTTTATGCAAGTTGAACCCTACCTCTTACTGTTCAGATTTACGTAACTGTATTAGGGCACTGTGTGGCACAGTTTCACCCACTTCCCCAGCAGCTGGTGGATTCTGACTAATCTGCTCTCGGCCAAAATGGACGGAGGGGAGATAAACTAACACACACAGATGTGTTGAGGCGGCTTTACTCCTTCCTCACAACCTTTAACGGGATGGAAAGAGGGACCAGAAGCTGCAAGGTGCTAAATGCACTCACACATTAAACAACTGTTAAGCTAATAATGTTTTGTCCAAGCTGACTGTTGGTGTCTTATCATCATGTGAGTTAGGAAACTGCTGTGGGGTCCGTGGATTCCAGATGCTGCTGTAGTTCTAATCCAGATGTTTTTTATAACAATCACGCCAGCTATAAGTCAGCTTTATGCGTAAACTCATCATAAAAGGGTATCAACCATTGGGCATAAAAGATTATTGTATTGGTCAAATAGCATAACACAAAATCCACAGTGGAGAGGGCTTTAAGCTAAAACATGTGCAGGTCTTCTATATGTCTCAAATAAGACAGAGAGAAAATAAAACTGTACAGAAATTGCTGTGAAACACCTTAATTACACAGGATTCACGTGGAAGTGTTGCTTCAGTGATTGGCTATAGTTGTTCCAAACCATCTCATGTCCGCTTGTTTATTTTCCACATAAACCTTTCAC